ATTTGTAATCCATAGGGGTGGCGCAGAAAATGTTTGGAAACCACTGGGGAGGCGCAGAAGAAAAAGTTTGGGAACCACTGGGTTAAGTCATCCTCAGCCTGAATAAGTTTGTTTTCGAGCAAAGCAATATTCCTACAATTTGTGGTGTTTTTGAGAGAGAAAATGTATTGCACCAACATCAAGCATGCAGGCACAGAGACTCCAGTGGGAGGAACATAGATGTTTTCTGTGTATGTGTTTGTTCTCAGCCTATTCCCAACCACAACATGTGGATGCTTCTCTACTTCATCTCGTTCATCCTGATGAGCTTTATACTGCTTGACATGTTCATTGGGGTGATGGTGGAGACGTTCCACAAATGCCAACGGGAGCAGCGGATAGCTCATAAACCCAAGTCAAGGCCGCCCTCTGGTAAGACTGGTTATGATCTGGCTTGTCTATGGTGAAAACAAACATCTCTACAAGCTAAAGACAAGAATGTCTTTAGCTGATTGCAAATGTAAGAATGTAAGCGAAAACCATGTATGATTTTCCTTCCACATTGCAATTCTACTCTTCTTTGTTGATACAGAAATACACTGAAGTTTGCAGTTGTAAAATTAGCAAATGTGTATACTTTTGTAAGGCACTGCAGGTGTCGTGACGCACGTATCTTTTAAATGTATTCCAGTGGCCGAAGATGAGGCGTTTTTCCTTAAGTATTCCACTACACGTCGAAGAATACATTCCGTGTGTACCAGTCCTGCCCTGGAATACTCCATTACGATCTGCATCTTCCTCAGCACGTTTGTGATGGGAGCAGAACACTTCCAGCAGCCTAAGGTAAACACCCTCACACAGGCTGAAACAGACCGAAAGATTAGCTCGTTTCAGCTCTCGGGCAAGAGATTGAGCAAGTTGTATCTTTGTTCAGTATATATCAGTTCTTTTAGAGTGGGTCTTCTACATCTTAACCCTCTTGCTGGTCATTGAAATCATGCTGAAGCTCGTCGCATTTGGCATTGTGAGGTACCTGAAAGATAGGTAAGAGACCTTCTCTCTCGCTGCTTCTCTTTTCTGCTCTAGTTTTTCCCAAGCCCTGCGGGTCCCTAATCTGTCTTATTGTACGTGTTTAGCTGGAACATGCTGGACATTTTTGTCGTCCTGGTTTCTCTAATCAGCGTTATTGTGGGCCAGGTGAAGTTCCAGGAGAAGATCCCAATCAATATGGGCATCTTCCGTGTGGTGAGAGTCCTCAGACTTGCACAAGGTACAAAACCAAACACCGAGGTGAAATGTGTTGTGGTTAGTCTCGGACTGCGCCTCCTGAGAGTTTCTGTTGTTTCTGTTTAGTTCTCAAGACCACAAAGATCAAAGTTTTGCTCAAAACCATCATCAGGACTCTGTCACAGGTGAAACACACACTGTGGTATCTTGGATTTGAACAAAAAAAAAAATCCTTCTAATATGAAATGTTCCAAAATAAATATTTTTTAATTCCCTACAAAAAGTAGTTTTACACCTTAATAATTTGATCCAAAACAAAATTTAAGAAAGGGAAACCAAAACAAAAGGCTTTCAGAAACGTTTCATAATTTGCTCACCTTTGGTTATAACTCTTAACATAACTCTCAAAGGATGAAGATTTTTCTTTGCATGACTAAAACTGGATGTAGTTGTGATATTGGTGTCCACACATTCTTAAAAAGTCTTAAATTCACATACATATGATGAAGGCCTTAAAATGTCTTAAAGTCATAAAATAAAAATGAAAATTGACCTTAAATACATTAATCACAACTCTTAAATTTTGTCATGACAAAATTATTTAATCTCATATGTGTAGTTTTATGTAGAAGTGGGACTTAAAAGTTTTATCACAATGTTTTGTGGTACTATTGTGATGATGCTAAGAACTGTTTGTTACTGTTTCTTAGGTAATTGAATGGCAGCAATCATAATCTCACAAGCACAAATACTTCTTTTATGCCCATTTGTAAAACACATCTTTAGGACACTAGTGTGATTTGTATCCCTAAAATCCACATAGTAACTGCATATGAGTATATTTTAACATTTATTGATATTTAGTGATACACCGGTATTGAACAAACAGTGAAAATTGTAAATGTAACAGTCCCAACAATATGGACAACTCTAAGGGTTTTAAACATTCATTTGAATTAATTATGACAACAGTAAATCAAAATCTTATGAAAAGAAATTAAGATGAATGGTAAATGCCCGCCCCTGGTTTTAGGACTTATCTGTCAGGAAGAAGTTTAAGTCTATCTAGCTGCTAATGTACTCTTGCTAGCTAGCAAGCTAGCTCCTTTTCATGTATCATGGGTGAAAGACTCGGCACATGTGGAGCGATGAATGACAGTGACAGGCAAAAGTCTTCGCCACTCAGGGTGAAGGCCAACATATGGGACAAAAGTTGAACATTTTTCAATTTTCTTGTGTCGCATAACATTGCCGCATGTTCAAGTCAAGTTCAAACCAGTTACAGTAAAAGCCACAGACTTTGTCCAGTTTTCTGTGTGGCCTGGGGAGTCTTACAAAGACTGCAAAATTATGAGTAAAGCAGAGACGGATTAGGCTAAATCTACAATGGATACGGAAAGTATTCAGACCCCTTTATGTTTTTCACTCTGTTTCATTGCAGCCATTTGCTAAAATCAAAAAAGTTCATACTAATTCTCATTAATGTACACTCGGCATCCCATCTTGACAGAAAAAAAATATATAGAAAGTTTTACAAATTAATCAAAATAGAAAAACTGAAATATCACACATGGTCTATTTGATTTTTACCATGTGTGGAAAATGATGAATAAAATTCCACTGAAATACTGTCTTTGCTATTAAAGGCACCAAACATTGTGTTTTAAATTTCCTGCTTCTGCACTGTGCAAATTTCATGACCTGCACATTTAACCTGCTCTTTGATTTCAGGTCGGAAACATCAGCCTCTTGTTCATGTTTTTCTTCTTCATCTATGCTGCGCTTGGAGTAGAGCTCTTTGGCAACATCGGTTAGTCCCTCTACCACCCACTAAACAAAAAAATGGGCTGCCCAGGAGGTTGGTAATCGGTGTACGGTTCGTTCTTTGGTTTTTCCGTTTCGAAGCAAGATCACAAAACGAAAAATTATTATTAGATAACAGAAACGTTTGTTTCTGTCTTTAAAACCTAAATGAAAATGTGAAATGTTCCAGAGTTGAAATACAACTGTGAAAGACTCACACAGAGAGAAAGTACCTATTAGAAAGTTTATCTGACAACTAAAAATTCTTTGGCGCTTGGACCCCGGCAGAAGATGTGGTGTGATTATCCTGAGGATGAACTGCTCAGGATAAGGACTAGAGATGTCTTACCCCAGGGCTTGGGCACTGGTGGGGGAGAGGATGCCAATGGTCTGTAGGGATAATGAAAAAGTTAAGAGCTGAAGGTGAAGAAGGGTTGGAGGTGGGTTGAAGCTCAACCAAGGAGCAGGCGTAGACAGGAAACAGGGCCTTATGAATGGAGTAACGCCTGGTGATTGGAGGAGATGAGAAGAGGGACAGAGCACAACATAAGGTGGCAGTACAGATGAAATTAAAAAAACAAAAGAAAATATTCGATTGTTTTTTAATATATATATCAATACCAGAAATGACGGAAGTCGCCAAAGAAGATGAGTGTACAGGTGATTATTACGCTTTCTAATCTTAACTGCTTTCTTGTAATATTACATCAGTTTTGCTTAAGGTAGTATCATGGGATGCTGATGAAGTGTGTCGACTCCTTCTAAATAACCACTCCAACTGTGACCAAGGAAGACCAGAATCGACCCCAAAATTGCACCCCAGGCAAGGAGCAACATCAATGGTTTGCTAACAGCTTTTCCTGTGTGTTATTGACCCAGAAATGCTAAAGCAGATCAGTGACTGAGGCCCATTGGAGGCAGTTCATAGTGCATGATGGTGGCCAATCTGAAAGCCTTTATTGGCCTTTTATATTTGAAAAAAAAAAAACAGGGAGTAAAAAATATGGACATGGAGAATATCTGGAAAAATTGGACTTCCAGTTTTTCGTAGAAACGATGCCCAGAAATAAATTCAAATGAATCCTGATACTTCCCTGTTTTGATAATAATTGCAGAAGACGTTTCGTGAACACGTTGTGGACAACTGTACATCGCTCGTTATTGACCCTGTGCAGCTTCGTCGCCTAACCAGGTTGAGACACCATGATGGACCTCGGACGTGAAGGGCGGGACCATTGAACGGAGCGACTGAGATCGTTTTCCCAAGTTGTTGTTGCTTGTGCTACTCCAACTAATTTGTCAGTGGAAGCAGCGCACCTAGTTGCAGCTAACCCATCGATATTTGCAAAAGTTGGAAGCAGCTGTCTGACTTTGACAAGCTTTGCAGGTGTTAACGAGCGCATAGGTTGTTTTGACTTCTGTCATGGCGGAGTGATCCGCTTTCTGAAGAGCGTTGCGTCACCTGCTGAGGATCAACGGCACTGATTGCAAATGGCATTTTATTTTCAGACAAACAAGAGCAGCAAGATGTCTTTTGGGGCGAGAACGTCTGTGCGACTGAATAGCTGACTTTATTTGCAATCATCTGATTTAGGTTATTGATATGTACAATTTAATGTCCACCAATAGTTACTTGCTAAGCTCAAGATGAAGAACTTTTATGACATCGAGGTGATACAGTGACAGTGTGAGCTGCTCACGGCAGATTTTGCTCACCATGGTGTGATAGGAGATCTAATTGGTTTACAGGCTGTTCCAAATTGATATGTAATTGGAAAAATGAACCACAAAGCATCGATGAGTCAGTATTTTTAACTACACCGATTGCCGAGGAGGAACTCTGCAAGGTAGGCACAGATTACTTAGTGCTAGCCAGTGTTAGCTACCACACTGTTTGAAGCCAGAAAAAAGAAAAGCCTACCTTTCAACCAATGCTGCCCTCTTTCCCCGTACTTTGAGTCCTCTTCATTTAAGTTTCTCCACACTGTGCTTCTTTATCGACGAATATTTAAACAAAGTTCCCGGGATGTCCTCACCTTCCAATGTTTACACCCTGTTCAGATGGCGCCGTTCTGTTTGTGATTTGTTTGTCCACAGGAAGCACTAGGTCCAGAAAAGCGGCAGTAAAAATAAAACAGCTGATATCTGCAGCAGATGTCACAAAGCTATGTGTGGGTGTTGAAAAGACCAAAACTGTTTCTAGAGCCAAGTAAAAACTGGAATCCTCCTGTAGATATATGCACTTATAAAATTTTAATCTCAAATATGGTTGGACCATTAAAATATATTTTTTTTGTGTCTTTTTTGTTTAGTTTTGGAATTGTTTTCTCATTTAAGAAAAAAGAAACAAAAAAGAACATGCAAATGTTTGTTTTGTTTTGAAGCGGAGGAACCAAAGAATGAACCTTGCGCAGATTGTTGGAATTGTAAAATTCATGTCATTTTACACATGAAGTTCAGTTTATATCACTTCAGTTCATTTATATTGCACCAATTCACAACAGATATTACCTCTTTGCACTTTACAAGACAAACGCATCCAGTTTCTGTACAGAAACATGTAGTCCGTTTCACAAGCCTCTTGTACAGGCAGATTTAATTACATACAGTCCAACTCCATCCTAGTTATAAGTCAAGTTTAGTTTTATTGCTGTACTTGACGAAAAGCATTTGGTAGCTAAACTACAGGGATAGCTCAGGGTAGGCTAAGCCACTCTAACTTTAAATTGTATTAAAAAGGAAAGTTTTAAGCCTAGTCTTTAAAGTAGACGGTATGTCTGCTTTATGGACTAAAACTGATGACTCTGGACTCTACTAAATGACTCTGATGCTCCTCTCAACCTGACTGAAACTCTTCAAACTGATCATTACTGTGTAAATGCTCACAATAGATTAGACAGGATTTTTTTTGAGGAACTTTGTTTGTCTCTGTGTTGATCAGCATGCTCCATAGACTTCCCTTGCCTCGGCCTGCACCGCCTCAGCGACTTCAACAACTTCATGCTGGCCTTACTGACGCTGTACAAAGTCAGCACAGGAGATAACTGGAGCGGCATCCTGAAGGTACGTATGAACGCCGTGACTTATTAAATAATAACGCGAGAAAACTGGCTTCTCACGGTAAGAAAGAGCCTTTCTCTAGATAACCATCGAGGAAATTTATCAATACATTTCAGATAGTTGGGTCACCCAACTAGAATGAGATCAGCAGCACATGAGTAATGTTTGACGCAGGCAACTCGTCAGTATCCTCCATTCCCATTTGTCGCATATTTGAGACATTGTTAAACTATATTTATGTACATTTATGTTGAAAACGAGTCTATGCAGTTTCTTTTTTTTTTTTTTTTGCACAGTCAAGTTATTTTGGCCTTCCTATTTATATGACTTGATGTTCAAATTTTTAAAAATATATTCAAAAATACTTTATTGATCCCAAAGGAAAACTAAATGTAGTTGTACCGTGTATTAGAGTGATTGTAGATGGTGATGGGAACAACAGTTTGCATTCCAAATTGTGTTCTCCGTGTTGATTTGTGGTTTTGGCACTAAAACATAGTAACGTTGATAAAAAGTGGCATACGCCCATCAACCGTCTAAGAGTTTATCTGTCTGCACAACTGCCAAATGGACACACAGTGGGAGTAGAACATTCCCACTATTGAATTATTAATATGTGTAATGTTTCTGCATTTATTGAATTTTGCTATTTATAACCCTAGAAAATACTAAATAAAGTTGCCATCTCTACCTTGCAGGACACGATGCCAGGGTGCTTGCCTAATGACGAAACGTGTAACCCCTACCTGACCTATGCTTCTCCCATCTTCTTCACCTCCTTCGTCATCACGGTCCAGTTTGTTCTCGTGAACTTGGTGGTGGCAGTAATCATGCAGGCACTGGATGACAGCAAGAAGGTAAAGTTGCCAACTTTGAACAAACATAAACTGTAACCGATCTCTATGCCTAGGCCCTTTGTCCATTTAGTAGTCCCACGTGTGCCTGACCCTCTCATGCATGAACATAGGTGCACTGCAGAAAAGCACAAAACCCTACTAAGTATTTTTGATCTAGTTTCTGTTGCAAATATCCCATCACTTGAAATAAGGCAAAACTTTATATTTCATTAATACTGATCAAAAAGAACCAGGTCAACTAGCAGATTATTTCACTTATAACATTGGGAAAAATGTCTTGTTATAAGTGAAATAATCTGCCAGTGGAACTAGTACTTTTTAAAAAATCAGTTTTAAGGAACTTAAAATAAGTTAGTTTTTCCTTATTTCTAGTGTACTTTTGTGTCTTGGAGGTTATTAAACCTTAATAATTATGGATTATTAAGGCTTAATAAAATGTCGGCTCACAGCTTCAACAGTACTGGGGATTCTTTCTGGAATGTTTAAGAATGTATTTATGGGAACTTTTAACTACTCTTCCATAAGGTCAGACACTGATGTTGGAAAAGAAGCCCAGGCTTGTAATCTTCAATCTAAATCATCCTAAAGATATTCTGTCGGTTGAGGTCAGGACTCTGTGCAGGCCAATCAAATTGCTCCACAGCAAACCCACTCATGCATGTCTTCATGGATCTGTCTGTGCACTGGTGTATCTCCATGTCAGAACAGGAACGGGGCAAACCAAACTGTTCCTACAGATTCGAGAGCATAAATTGTCCTAAGTGTCTCTACATTCTAAAACATTAAGAGTTTGTTTCACTAGAACCAAGTGACTGAGTCTGACTCCTAGGCTGCGTTTACACTGCAGCCTGAAGTGACCCAATTCCAACTATATTTTTTATTTTGACGTAATGTGATCTGTATCTGATGTTTTCATGACAAACTGAACAGCTCAGGTCAGACAGAGTCTTTTCGAATGCGATTCAAATGTGACCTAACATCCAGGTCGCATTCATCCGACCTGAACGTCACTGACACTCAACAAATGTCAATATTCTGCGTCCTCATACGCGCAAGCAGGAAGAAAAACAACAACCATGATGGACTTTAACAGGGATTAAGTTAATATGTCGGCTCCGGTCAGACAACAACTTCAAAATCGTAAGCTACGCTCCGCCGTTGGCATCCATGTTTACTTCCGAGCACTTCTTCTTCTTTATGGCTGTTGGCTCGCTCTCTATGTTTGACGTTACGGCGCCCTCTACGCGCATCCGGGACAATTTATACAATGAAACGTTGTAATTTTACAGCGTTTCTAACAGCCGATAGAATTTACAACAAAACTTCCATTTTGTTGTACTTAAAATATATAAATATATGTTTGATGTCCAACTTTGAAATTTAAACATGGAAACGCTTGATGTTTCTTTCTGTAAAAGGAAGGACATGGGGAAACACAGATGAAAATGATTGTACTTCTCAGCGATCCTTCGGTGCCCGGAGAACACATCGGGGAGGACAGCGACTAAACTCAGAGAAACCGCCATATTCTCTTTGTATTGTTTCAGCATCTGTTTTAATGTTAAAACACAGTTTTAAGGATGTTCTTGCCTTGTTTCTGTATGAACTATACAATGTTTATACTTTTTATGTCCGTTTTTACTCAAGTGTACATAGAGATGTCAAATGTGCTGAAGAATTGTACAAACGCATGTTAAATTATTGAATAAATGTATTTGCCTAATTTTGAAACAGTAATCTATATATTTTTTTAATTACATACATTTTTCATACATATTCATTAAATTGTTTACTGTTTTATTCATAAATGGAATTTTAGATTTTTTTTTGTGATATTGTATAAAATAAGCTGAGGTGGTTCAGTGAAAAGTCAGCAGAATGTTCCAATTTTTTATCCGATTATTCGTCAGAACAGCTGATAGAATAATCATTCACTAAAATAATTGTTACATCTTTGCCCTATGTGTGAAAATAGAGTAAAATAATGCTTACTTTGTGTTTAAATTAGGACCATTTTAAATTGAGACAAGCATCAAAAGAGCGATGATCAAAACTGGAAGGATTATTTAATATTTAGATTATTTTAAACGGCTTTCATGTGCTTCATGGTAAAGTGAAGCACATGAAGCAAATGACTGAATCAGGGCGACGGCATGAGGAAGGGCAGCGCCTGCACATGACAGACCTGCTTTAACTCACCCTGGATTTAAATCATTAGTTTTAACAGATTTGGAAATGGAAAGATTTGATATCAAGCTTAGGAATACAGAGAAACTCAAACAATACAAACAATAAAAACTGAAAGAGGGAGCTTTTAAAATATAACAAAGGAATAACTGGGAAGGAATAGCTTAGCACATTTACCGTATTTTTCCGACTATAAGCCGCTATTTTTTTTTTTTTTTTCCGCTTTGACCCATGCGGCTTACAGCCCGGTGCGACTTTTCTGTGGATTTTTCTTCAACCACCAGGGGGCTCTTTAACAGGAAGTGAATCATTGGAAGTCAAACTTGGAAATCAAAGAAGAAAGTGTTGATTTTTATTTAGAACAAGCACATGTTAGCAGCAGGCACGACGGAGAAATGTCTTCAAACTCGTACCCGCTCATCATGGAAACAAGATTAAGTTTATATGACGCCGCCTTTAAGTTGAAGGCCATCGATCTGGCCAGGGGAGCATCTACATACTTTCTGAGGTGAACATGTCATCGGCACCCCAATGACATAAACCTGGACAATTCATCTTTAATTAAAGTATTGATAATAATAAATGTACATATGTGTGAATAAATTGCTGCCTACGGGGAAATTAAAACCAATGAAACAAAAAACAGGGCAATATTTCATCATTTAACATATCAGTGAGCCAAAGAGCCACTTCTGTTGGTCTGTGTCTAGAACAGCCTGTGGGCTGCAGGTCTGAAAAGGCAGACTGACATAAACCTTTTAAAACAACGGAAACAATTTCGGTATTCTGATTATTGAAATTTAAAAGTGCTGTGTTGTTCCATCACCACCATTTCATACAGGGGAGATAGCGTTAACATCACCGGCGTTAACGCTATAAAATGAACGCCCTCTATCGTTGTATCACCCATGGAGGGATTTCTTTATTTAAATGGGTTCATTTTTCAGAGGGACACACAGTGAGGGTATCGTGATTTTAGTAATTACATGCTTATAAGCGATTTTCTGTTAGCCTTCCATGGAAGCGGGCAGCCCCAAAAACGGAAATAAAACACTTAAGTTGCTGCTTTGACATAATCACAGAACTGCCAAAACATATGTAAAAAAATCCTCAATAAAACATAAAATATTAGAAAATCAGACAGCAGACAAAGTGAATCACAACGTCATCAGCCGGTGAGACGCTGAACTGATGCGGTGAAGCTACCAGTAGCAGCAGAGCGGAGCTGCGCCAAGAAGCTACAAACACTGAATAGAAGGAGAGCTGCCATCGATACAGTTGCAGCCAATCATGGTTTAATGTTACACAATACAGTTTTACCAGTTTCTCAAAGTCTAAACTGGCATTGTTGTGCATTTAAGGTGTAAAGTTTACCTTCGACCAAACGCCCCCCAAAGGCATCCCAGCGTCC